CCTACACTCTCGGAACGTAGATTAGTGTCAGTTGGCTCTCGAACTTCAGGCTCCTTTTCCGGCACGACGGGCTCTTCAGCGATGGCCTCTGGCACCGAACCTTTCTCCTCCACTACCACCACTTCATGCACTTCCTCGGGTGGACCATCACCGCTCAAGGTCGACGGCGTGCTGTAACCGCTCTCACCCGAACTCTCATTACCTACACTAAGGTCCCAAGGACCCAATAGACCTTTATAACCCGCTTTCAGCAATTCTGCACTTTTGCTAAGGCACCAATCCTTGCTCGGCAACATATCTGTGATGTGTGCTGTAGTGCGTTCCAATGGGCCTACCACTCCCTCATATCCTTTACTTAGCAATTCTGCACCTTTGTTGAGGTACCAAGCCTTGCTGCTTTCCGCGTCATCCTTAAAATTGCAACCAGCTTGCTGGGCTTCTGCGGAATCACTTAACATACTGTAGTCTTCCTCTTCGTGGTCAAACTCACTAATGTGACTTAAAGCCGAGTCGTATTGTTCTTCCTCATCTTTCGACGAATCTTGCACCGATGCTCTCTTCTGCTCTTCACTACTAGCAAGCATAATTGAAGTTATTTTGCTCACAACATGCGCAAATCTCAACCCTATGAACTCGATGCTTTCGATCGACGCAGCTAATAAAAGGGCACTGTGGATAGCGTTCTTCGCATTGGAATACGCCAAAAGTATCTCGGCATATTTGCTCCTGTCTGACACCTGAGATGAGTCATATAGAACCTTCTCTAGCTTTTCAATTTCTGTTTCACACTGATCTAGACTTTCAAACCGCTCTAGAATATTACGGACATCCTTTCGGAGTAGGTACATTTCATGTAGAACCTTCTTGGATATGTTGCCCACTTTATTCGAAGGGTTTTTTAGCACATGAGACGCGTCCTCTTCATATTTTCCAGCTAATTTACGGAATTCGATGTATCTAGCCACAGTGTTTACCAACGCTTCTGACGACTCTGTAACAATCATATCGATTTCATCGATAAGAATTGAAGGTAGAGCGGAATCCCCAATTAAACCGGAACACGCATAATGTTGGCAAAACATTTCGTAGAAATATACTATTATTTTTCTTGACGCTTGCATATGCGATATGCCTTGATAACACTTGTCCATATCACTGGGTTTGCCATATCTAGTAGTACCTTCAGATTGCCGCATTCCTATCACCTCCTTGATAGAACGCATGTCACCGTACACATAATTTACCATTTTCTCAAGTGTATCAATAATCGCTTGTCTCCATTCAGAATCCATCGTGTATAATTCATAATCCGCAGTATTGGATGCTGGCAATCCGCTCGACAATGACATGTGATTTTTCATTGCAGCTATCCCTTCCGCAACAGATTCACACTCTTTCTCTAAGTGTCCAAGAACACACAACAATTCAAGCTCCTTTACCTTGGGTTCCGATCTCATGTCGAAATGATCCTCCAATACCTCACCACTCACTTCACTTGGTTTTAAAGGTTCAGTTTGATACACTTCAACGATATCTTCAATCAAGTAGTTCACCTGACTTTCAAATTCCATCCTTTGGTCGTAATTCAACGTACGATAATTCAGGCTTTTCTCAATTAATTCAAGCCCCTTCACCGCAGCCAAGGTTACAACCTCGGAACAATCAGGTTGTGACATAATTTCGGCAGTAGCGTTTTTGAATAGTGTACGGTATTGGAATAATCCAGTCTGGTCAACAATTGTTCTGTAAAGCTTGAACCACTTGGTATACATATCAATCATTTGGCCATATAACACACTATCCGTCTGCTTAGCCTCCTTCCGTTTCTTTTCTGCATCTTCACTTGTGAGGTATACAGCCAGATTATATATCTCAGCCCTTTCCTTGTTTATCCACTCCTTATATTGTTTGATGAAATTTGGTTCGGCCATAGCTTCAGCCAAAACTTCATCTTTCTTAACTTTCTCACCTCCGTCTTTAGGTACCTCTTTGTAAACATTGGACAACGCCTGGATGAGCCTATCGCTTCTTCCTTCAGTCAACTCATCTACAGACAACAACTTCAGTAACTTCGCCTTCATCAGTCGCTCTCCACCTTGCTTCAGGCTATCAAAAAATTTAATCATATCCTGTGGTATAACCTCTGATATATTCGTGGCATACGTATTGAAGTCATCAAAAACGATTTGGACATCACCTGTTGAAAGTGCAACTTCCTTAGTTTCAGGTGCACACCTTAAGGCTCCAACAATACTCTCGGCATTGCTATGGTTTGCGTTAAACTCCTTAAGTAGTTCATGTGCCATTGGTTCACGATACGTGGATGTTTCCAGTTGCGCCACCTTAACTGCATTTAGTTCAAACAGATCATATTGCAACAATAGAGGGTTAGTAATCTTTACAGCTGACTCCACCATTATAGCCAAATTTTTGGCGTCATTAAGATGCTTCAGGTACGATTCTTCCTCCAATTTCTCAGCTGCCGTTTTAGGGGTCACCTTCACTTTCATCTTCGCAGTATCAAATATCCAGGCGACATTGTTCTCAATATTTGTCTGATGATCAGGATCCGCATGGACCATCACGTTACCCAAAAAGTGGGTCACAACAAATGACAAAATGTATATAGCAACGCTCCACTTCCTCATCTTGTACACTCAATAATTCTATCTCGATATAGTTGGATGATTTCTTGCAACCGTCAATTAGTTGCAACTTTGGAAACTTCTAATGATATGATGATATCGAAAGAGTTTATATATATATTTTTTATATAGCTAGGCTATATTCATATACGTTGTTAATGCTTGGCTTGGTGCCTTGTTTCGCGGTAATAGCGAATTATCAGTTAAAAGGACCTGCAACAGAAAACAGTTCTGTTTCGGTGTAACTTATCGGTTAACTATTTTCTACGACTACCCAAGAACATAGCTACAGTTGGGGCATCTCACTGCTTGCAGAGGATATTTTCTTTGAAGCAGCAAGTCAGCCATTGTATAATCAATGCCATCCTGATGGCGACCCAAACCGCCGAGGTACCAACAAATTTTTGGTGGGCTATGTACAGATTTTTTGGTTTAATGAATCGGTGTTAGAAGGATATTTTTGGGAGCAACTTGACATTTTTTCCGGGAAAAAATTCCTCGCGATTCCTCTACCGGTATTATATTTACCTATACGATACTACATACCTTGACGTATCATTACCGATACTTCGATCTACAACATTTCTACGCAATTTAGTGCTCTGAACAGTGTTATAGGCGTATGAACACTTAACTATAGTGATCACTACGATTTGACTCAGTGTCCATATGTTGTCAATTAATGACTAATTAAAACAAACGGAGACCTATATATCCATTTGCTCATGAACATCTACGTGTGTCAGTCTAATTTATACGGTTTGAGATTTATTTCTATCTTATACAGTAATGTAAATAGCTGTAAAGAATCAATACTCTTAACTGGCTCGTTCGGGCTGCTCCAGTTATACTCAGTTTACTGGTTCTCTTAAAACACAGGTATGATATTGGCTAGGTCACATATATACTAGAGTGGCTAGCGTGCCTCATGTAAACAGGTGACCCTCTAGACTCTTGACACCGAGCGGTGGAATCTCCTGTGAGATTGGCCATCAACCCTTTGGCGCTAGACACTCAGCTTATGTGAATATATAGTCTATCGCCACTTTTTTGGACGTTTTAGCGGTGGACATAACCACTTTGGTACAATATGTGTGCTGGGAGTTCTTTGTCGTTACGTGTGTTCACGTATGGAGAGATTGAAAAGTCTGTCCTACACAATTTCTATTTTCCCACATATTAATGCTAGTTGACAGATTGTTAATCATTTTTATTTGGATTGGCAGTCTTCTGCTATCCTGGACGCAACGCGTGTTGTGTCCAACCATATTATCAACCCCGTTATTCGTAACTTGTCTTCGACAATGCAATGCGCCGTACACTAACCTGGTTGACGCTGTGCAATAATTTGCTACCTCACTTTGCAGAATATCCTTCGTCGGCTTCAGTTTTTAATAACGGTGTAAACTTACCACTACCGTTGTTCGTGAATCCATCTGGCTTAGCGATGGGTGACAGGCGTGTAAAACGCCGACTGGAAGGTTCGACTGCGTGGTCTCCTGCAGTATCGGCATTGCCGGAGATAAAGTCCCCTGAGGACCTTGAAAAGTAGGTGATACAGCCATCTTTTCTAACTACTGAATATGGCATTTTGTCGTCTGAATTTTACAATTCGTGTAGTTATGCTATAAAGGAAGATTGTGTTTTTGTGGCATTGCGCCCCGAAGATCAAAAAACCTTTGCCGAGAAGGGTTTTTTTAGGTATGTTTACCCGTTACTCAGGCTAATGTCGTTGCAGGAAACTAGTCAGAAATTACAAAAAATCGTTAAATACCGCTTGTTTAAAGGATGTTGAGCTTCCGGATGATGCAAGGCGCTTCGTCGTGAGCGGTATATCGTCCTTTTACCATTGCACATTTTACAGGTTGGGAAACCCTCAACTCCGATCTGCAGGCCCTGATACAGACGAAAGCCATTGCTTTTCGCAATTTCACTCACATCAGAAGATACGAGGATTTGTCTTTGGGTAAGGTGTTGATGTTCTATCTATGCTATGATGTATATTTTTTATCCAATAGGACTTGGTTGTTTACGTTACTCGTATTAGTCTAAACGTTTTCAGATGAATGTTTAAGGTTGCTGGGTGATTCTCACGGTGTTATGGTGAGCTTCGAGACGGTGGGTCACATAGCGCATTTGAACCTTCCCTCTGAACGCTTGTGGGCAAAACACATTATCGCAAAAATTTTATTAGACAAGCACAAACACATCCGAACTGTTGTCAATAAGGTTAAGGAAGTTGACAACGAATTTCGAACAATGGAACTTGAGTTACTGGGTGGTTCCGACGACTTTGTTGCGGTTCAACATGAGAATGGGTATACTTTCAAAATCGATTTCCGAAAAGTATATTGGAACTCCCGGTTGATTCGAGAGCGGGAACGCATAAGTGAAACGTTTAATATGGGTGATGTGGTCGTTGACATGTTTGCAGGGGTTGGCCCCTTTGCTGTATACGCTGCTGGCAAGGGATGTTTGGTGTTTGCGAACGACCTTAACCCAGTGGGTACTCGCTACATCGAAATAAATGCCAATTTGAACAAGATTGCTAACATGGTCTTTCCTTATAACCTTGATGCCCGCGATTTCGTGAAGAACTTTGCGAATTATGGGATCATGGACAAGGCTGCAACGGCGTTCAGGGATCATGTGTTGAAACCTGAGAACAAGGTTCACTTTGTCATGAATTTGCCTAAGGACGCCATAGAATTTTTGGGTAAGCGAAAAGTGGATTGTTAACATGTGCATTAGATGTTTTGGTTGGACTAGCAAAAGGCGTTTCTTCGGCGAACGTGCGTACATGTATGGTCCATTGTTATTGCTTCAGCGATGCGGAGGATGTCGAGGCCGACATTGATGAACGTATGGCGAAGGTTCTGAAGGAACATATTGGAGAGAAGAAAATTATCAACGTCCGGGACGTCTCTCCCAAAAAACACATGTATTGCATAGAGTTCAACATGCCCAAGGAGCTTCTATGCTCTCATGGGTGATCACCAACGCTAGATATCACCGAAAAAGGGTTGCTTAGCGGTAGTCATGTTGAACATCGTTTCATAAATGTATAACGCCATATCGCCTACATTCATAAAGAAAAATTAGGCGACTGCTGCCAGTCGCTTTCCGAAATATTGTAAATTTATAGACGCCTATTCGTTTACAGCATGGTTTTAACCCCCTGGCTGGTATATATCAAATCATGAATAACACAACGATAAAAATCGGAGCTAGATACGGTGCTCTACAGTCTCTAAGGCACAGTTGCTCCGGAGCGAACACTAGCGGCAGCTGCTAGAGTTGCACACAGAGCCGATTACGACCCATCAATATCTTGTAGAGCGAGATATTGGGAGTTACAAAGATATTTTGTGCACACTGGCCGTAGGTTGCCCGGAGCCGGTACCGATGCCAGGCCGCGTCCCCACAGAGCTCCAGGCCCGTGATCGTTGCTGGGTTCTGGCGTTTCGCTAGTGGATGGCATCGCTAAATATCGTAGTATTGTAGGGGACCATATATGAGGAGGCTGCGTCGTATATCGTCGTTCAACATTGTGTTTGTGAGCGTCGTAGTCCTGAAGAGTTAGGCATCCTTTTAGAGTGATAATGGTGAGTTGTGTGACCTATGTGTATATTATGACTTGTTTGTGTACGCTGTAGTACTCCTAAGCGTTTTGTTGGTTTGCTGTGGCCATTATTGTTGCTTTTGTCGAGGTACTGTATTGTTGTGTTAACCGTCATCTATCATTGTTGTTGAATATGCAATGTTTTACACTTTCGTAGGGTCGAGTACGTACTAAGACCGTCAAGCGCGCTGCGCGTCAGATCGTAGAGAAGTATTATGCGAAGCTTGGTTTGGACTTCCACTTCAACAAGAAGGTTGCGGAAGAGGTGGCCCAGATTCCATCTAAGCGTATGCGCAACAAGGTCGCTGGGTTCATCACTCATTTGATGCGTCGCATCCAAAAGGGTCCTGTTCGTGGCATTTCGCTGAAGCTCCAGGAGGAAGAGCGTGAACGCCGTATGGACTTCGTCCCTGAACGTTCTGAGGTGGACGTGCCGCTGATCCAGGTGGACCAGGACACTGCCGATATGTTGAGCTTCCTGAAGCTGAACATCCCCAACGTTAAGGTGATCACCGCCAATATGCATGGTGATGCTATGCACCAGAGGTTCTGAGCACGCTTCACTTGCCACCCTAGGGCTGACATCGGACTTTAAATAATACTAAAAAACGTTTTGATGTTTTTTGGTGTGTGTCAGATAGATGGAGCGTGCGCCGAAGATAGACTGTTGCATGTGGAGCGACCTTACTTAGTTTATTTTTTCTCGTCTTAGAGAGGCGAGGTTTACGCGCAGTGTAGCACGCAGTCGTAAAGATGCCGAGGGTCATGGCAGCGGTGCCTTTCCCCGAGTCCGCAGCAAACTGCGGTGTCACTGCATAGCGACCTTATTTTTGGCATTTACGTGGTCAGATGAATCATGGGTTCGTCGTACTTCCGCCAAACACTGTCAAATGCAGATTGAACGGTTGTTGACGATCAGATGACGTTCGTATACGTGTACACACCTTCTTATGCTGTATTGTATCCGAAATATTCAACGTAGCTGGTGGCCCTGGAAATTGTTGTTATGTGACCGCCTGTTGTCAGCAGATGCCATACAGCGAAGTTAATGATTCGAACCAGACACCGCCGACACAAACATTTACCCAATAATAATGTGAAGATTTAAGGGCTATCGAAATGTGTAACAATAAATTTATCCACATTGTGCCGTGAATCAATCACCAGAAGAATGGCTCTTGCGGGCCATGGCAAAAAAAGTGAGAGCTGCCCTCCACGCTAGCTATTATCCATAAAGGTCGTCTAAGTATAACTAATTAACAATAAATTCTATTAACCACGCTCATATAGCGGCAGCAACCGATTGCTGTACAGCGAAGCAACAAATAATCGTTATGTGGACGGTAGACCTTCCTATGAAATGTTAGTGAATTTCTTCGCGTGCCACTCAACCCTACGTTTCAACGCCGCTCTGATGTTATCAACAACTAAGTTAATTTTCATAGGCTAAAGTATCAGAATTCTCACTATAATAATATACCTGTGATCAAGACTGTCAATGTCGAAGATGCAGCTAAAACTTTCTTCGCTAGCAGTAATGAATAAAAAAATTATAAATATTTTGAATTGATGATATTAAGGGTAAAATAAATTTTTCAGATGGTGATACCTAATTAACAACATTGGTAAAATGGCAATTCGTTTTGGCAATCAAGCCATTGTAATTTTTGCGGTACTATTGATAGGATCAATATACCCTATACAATCTCTGGTGTTGGACCTTACTCGTACGTATTTTAACCCATGCATTGATGTGTTCGAAGGAACTTTTAAGAATGGAGGTATTTATAGGATGTTTCACTCACACGATCCCATTATACGCCTTGTCACATACGGCCAAGAAGTTCTGGGTCCTTCAACAACTCGTGTTGCCTTTCCATCAGATGTTTACGTTCAAGAATATCGACGCGGTGATCGCAGGATTGTTGCTGTTACTCACTTTATCACGGAGGGTGCCAGATTGCTAAAAACAACGTATTATAAAATCGTAGGTACCAGAGTCTCTGCGGCAACACGCCCTGTGAAGAACGCTTTCATAGGAGGACCGATATCATTGAAATTAGATTTAGATTCGCCAAAGGCACATCCATTCATAAGTGCATCAGATAAGGATGGGGAATACCAACCTAGCGTGTGGTCCATTATTCCACGTTCACGTTACCCGGGCGAACCTGCTGTAGGCCGCATGATTTTTCGTTATGAAGTATATTTCATATCTCCGGTTATCAACATAGATCAACAATTTCGCGATCACAACAGCCCTTCACCGTCACTCATTTCCCACAGCACGAACATCCGGGTGTCCCGTACGGGTGATTCCACGATTATCTCTATAAAACATGGATCCTTCTCTGGGCGTTTTATCGCACGAACACCACCAACGGGAGATGGTATTTTCAGGCCAAAAAATATAATACTAAGTTCATACGATTTCAGCGCGTGTACACAAGGTCCGCATCTGACTAGGCGTGATGTGTTAAAGATAGACATCTCTAGCATCGAGACTAACGTGCCAGAGATTGTTATTCTGGCTAACCTTAGGCGTGGCGATTGGTTGTATACACAGTACAGCTTATGAAGCTGAACATCCCCAACGTTAAGGTGATCACCGCCAATATGCATGGTGATGCTATGCACCAGAGGTTCTGAGCACGCTTCACTTGCCACACTCGGGCCGAAATCGGACTTTAAATAATACTAAAAAACGTTTTAATACCTTTTCGTGTCCCATCGTGCGTCGCTGTGTTTTGAATTCACTGCGTCTATAGGAGAGAATGATGAGAGGGTATCATGGCCCTGGACTCGAACGGCTGGTTCTATGGGTTAACCATTCGTCGAATTCAATTACCATGTTATTAGCTATTCGAGCTTAATGAAAATGCGTTGCGTCTCATCCCACCAGTCAACTGTGTTCGCAACTTCACAGAGCAAAATATTTTATGGGTGTGACCGTTGTTGTCCTGGCAGAACTAGGGCTTTTGGCCCCTTATGCTTACGATATATTACGATTACTTAGAGGGCCAACTATGTTGAGAGACACCTTTGTTGTCTGGCCACAATATTTTATGATCTGGATGGACGGTGAAGTGTTTGCGGTACTTCTGTATCGTTTCACCAACCGGTTTCTTTCTGGAGAGTTTTTCCAGATAATACGCACGTCTCCTAAGATACAATGCATCCACGAATCGATTTCTCGTAGCTAATGTTTGCACTATGTTGGTATCCATCGCAAGCACTCGTCGCAATTGTTGTTTTCGCCTGATCTCGGTTGCAACGACGCAGTCGGCTCTGTGCTCCATCACACTTAGTGCGTACTGAAGGAATGGCCCGAAAGACGCTTTATCACGGCCATCTCTTGTGTTAGACCCGAGTTTGAGGGGCTGAGGTGTTTTCCCTCCTAATACTTGCAAGAGGTCATGCGCATCCTGTAGTACTGTAGATTTCCTGAAAGTTTTCACATCCACATCCTTCAAAAACGTCTCTATAGAATCTTTTCGGTCTTGAAAGAGTTTTACAGTGTCCCACAGATCCTTGATAGATTGGTGGTTTGTTTTTGCCTCTAGACGTCTTAGCTGCATGGCGAGGTAGTGGCGTGGACTAAAATCCATATGTAGGTACTTGCTGGGGAAATACCAACGGTTCCTGCTTCTACCTCTGAGCGGTTTTGACCATTCTTCCTCTCCTGGCATATCTGAACAAGGATGCACATAGGCTTATCGAGGGGTAACAGACAGAATTTAACGAAATCAAAGACTTATAATCACCTTTACAGCGAAACACATACACACAACAGGAATAGAGGAAATTACACCATAATTTAAGGAAATACATCTAGTTCGTTACCTTTAGTACTTCCGAATATATCGAGCCTAGCTCTGAGAATCGAATTTCGCCACGCCCGTCGCGCTCCTCCTGAAATGAGCGTCGATAGAACTCGACTTTCCATTATAACAGTAGATATATCATTACGTCAGTTGATGAGCTCGTTTGTTACAGGCCGGTATTTCCGTGTCGCGCGTAAAACGCCATCCGCAATCGACAATCATCTCTGAGTTGTTAAAATTCACATTTTACGAGATAAACATTATCAGGTATCATTAATTACCAAGATTCGCTTCATGTGTAAACACCACAGTGGACTACTTTTGGCAGCTCGGCGGCCATATATACATTTCTATTACCTATTTCGTGTACCATTTTACCATCTATTTGGCGTGTATTTTTGGTTTTTCTTTAATGTGTGTGATGGTGAAACCGATATACCCTGCAGCCATCCTGCCTAGGTCTTCCACTCGGTGGAGCGGAGAGACGGCCGTTGCACTCGCATAATTTGCAGTCTATGTTTAAAAATTGGTATATATTCCCACCACGCTGGATTTGCCAAGTTACATTTCTTCAAATGTTAGCTATTATGTATCGTGTACGTTTTGTGTTGGCCACGGCATCCACGCACCTTACTCCCCTTCCGCCGATTCGTTATCGTCATTGTCTACCATGGAAAGATCCAATTCTTTGCCAGTGATATCCCGGTACCTGAGAATCTTTGAGTTTGGAGAATTATAAACCCACATTTTCAGAACGTCATTTGAAGCAGATTCAAAATGTGACGTTGCGTCATAGGATTCCGATACGAAAATGTTGTCTTTCACAACCGTTTCGGTGGGGACGTATATTTCTGATACTTGTACAAACTTTTCTTCTATTTCTCCTATGATCTTTAGAGCGGGCTGGATTTCCTTTTGGGGGTCGTTTGTCTCGACAGTGGTTGATATAAGGGCGATGTACTTCCCCTTGGTGGCTACGCCATGTGAGTGAGAGACGAGTGTGATGTATATATCGTGTTTCCTCTTGAGTTGTTTTTGTGGTATAATGACTTGGCAAGATGATGCATTGTTAGTCTCCGGTATGGGTTTGCCAAGTATGCATATACATCTGCACAAAATGAGCGGGGAATTCAAGGTTGGTGCACGTAACCAATCACGTACGCATCCGCAGCACCAATAACCAATTTCAAGAGATAATATGTCCTTTCTCAATGAACAACCGAGTGTTTTCAATCGCTTGGGGTGCCCCTATGGCCATGCCCCAGAGCGTCTATGTTGTTATTCATTTAAACACATTGGCGTTTACATTGACAGCAACTTACCTTATGACTTTCCCGACGCTTTTAACTTTGTGTGGTAGAGTGTCAACCATGTAGGTGGGATCGCAAACCACCATTGAGCATTTGGCCACTTCCCCATCTGCTGTCTTGACACCGCATACTTTCCCCTCTTCATCAAACTCGAATCCATTAATCGGTTTGTTCAGCATATATGTGCCATTGTAAATAGCACACCTCCGGGAGAACGCTTCTGGTATGCCTCCTAGACCGTATACCGGGTATATGAATGGCGATGAACCAAACCTCATCAATGAGTTCATGTACAATTTCATTTTCATGATGGTGAAGAATGCGGGTTCCTTCATGTAATCGTCACACGTGTGCAATGCGACTGCATGTCCGAGAAAGTCTACAGTGTTTTCCTCGAGTCCATAATGTTGGTAGTAGGCCGTGATGCTGTCTTTGAATGGATTGAGTCCTTTCCATGTCTCCGGCAGAGTTTGGTCGAACTGTGCTACGAATCGGTAGAAGTTATGGCACCTAGTTTTTTCGAAAAATCCCATGAGAGGGGATTGTAGCGCTTCCTTGTCCGTGGCCGGTACTTTGTGTATAAACTTTTCTTCATAGAACAGCGACGCCTTTTGGTGTTGGTAGACGTAGCTTCCATCTAGCACCTGCCATTCCAGGTAATGAGATGTTTCTGTTGCCTTAAGTATTTTGACCAACGTGCCGCCAGCCAGGACGAATTTTGGTATGAGGTCTACGTTCCAGTCGCGATTAGGTCCGTATCTTTTTGGTGGTTCCTCGCCTGCCGTATGCTTTAAAACATGTATATACGTGCATTACCTGGTCTGAATCGTTTGTATAGATTAGTGAGATTAAGTGATGCCGCTTCTCCTCCATAATACGAGTTTCTATCCATGACAAGGACCTTTTTTCCTGGACTGTGTGAGGTTTATGCACATTCATCATACCACTTTGAGAGAGTAGGCCACTTAGGATGCTTTCCTTAAGCCCCGTACCACACACGCAGACCTATTGGCTATATTGTTTATGTTATGCGCGACCTACATCGTATGTTGCGTCCATTTTGTATATTATGAATTTGTACTATCGAATTGTATATTTCGGTATAAATTCAAGCTGGACGCTTTGGTGTCGCGTTTTGAAGAAAAGCTGTTACAAGTGGTTTTTGTTGCTGGAAGGTGGGATGCACGCCATGAGCTCTAGCCTACCACTACAGCACCGATACATGTTACACATCCGTTTTGAAGCATTGTTACTACTAAATGTGTTTACGTGTAATGCTACTTTTGCTCATTAAGTGCATTTTGTCCAGGTGTAACGCTAGCCTAGGGCCTTATACAGAGATAAGCCGCCGAGTAATACTACCCCTAGCTACCGTATCACAGCCTCATTAACATTACAGTGCTCTCGTTGTACCAGGTTGGCACTGCAGAGCTAGAATCCTGCCTATATCACTGTCGATACGGGCAGATAAACTAATTCACCATATTCCTCTTTTTCAATAATTTGTCAGCATTCTTCGAGTTTTCGTATCTTTCGGCTAAGTATCTACATATTCCCCGGTTAACTCGGAGATGTGAAGCTGATAATCATTGTCTGAACTGCGTCGTAGTGGAATACTAGCGTCTATGTTAAACACTTGGCACAGTTCGAATATTAGAGAACACATCGATCACTCACGCACATCCTAGTATTTTATAGGGACAATAGCTGTGTGTTACTCCTTCAACCTCTCCTTTCCGAATTCCCCACGGCGCCGCGGATAGCGTTTCCCCCATGCGTCACCAGTCCCTAAAATTACCGCGTTGAAGAGGCTCGTGGTATCTGATATTTCTGGAGGTTATAGGAGCAGCATTAGAAGGTAAGTTACGCGTGGCTTCGTGGTCAAAGAGTGGCTGCATTATGTGGTGGTGACCTGGCGTATCCGCGTTCTATCGTTTCTGGGCGCCAGGTGACGCCGATATTGTCATGACCAATTTGAGATTATTGGTAAAGTTTGTAACTGGTAAAATTTGCTGAACACATGGTCCTTTTGGCCTTCTGTGGCGTGAGGCCGAGTTCATGTTTTATTGTGTTGTTCAATCTGCACATCGGTAGTTCCGTGTTTCATTCGTAGTAAACTTTATACAATATGAATTTACAGATGGAGCTTGCTTTGGACAAGGATATGCGCAGGATGGGCCGCTACGAGGCTGACGTGCCATACCGTCGTTTCAACACCTCGTTGAAGGACTGCAACCCTGATGTTTTTATCGCGGCCTTCGCTCAGCAGATGGAGCTGAAGAACTACATTGACCCTCCTAAGTGGATCGACTATGCTAAGACGAGTTCGGCTAAGGAGCTTGCGCCTCAGAACCCCAAGTGGTTTTACATTCGCAGTGCGGCCATTTTGCGTCATTTGTACTTCAACCCAGATGAGGGCATTGGCCGTCTGAAGCGCGTGTACGCCTCTCGCAAAAGGCGTGGATGCGCCCCGAACCACACCTGCCCTGCTTCTGGCAAGATCATCAGAACTATCGTGCAGCAGTTGGAGGCTAATGGGTTTTTGGAGAAAAGCAAGGACAACAAAGGACGCCGCCTGTCGCGCCGTGGTTGCAACATCGTGAACGAGTTCGCACGCCACTTGACTCGCAGCCTATTGGAGAAAGGAGCTGCAGAGTAATCGTAACACTGTCTAACTTTAACCATACCTTGATTGTTTCACATTGTATTACCGCATGTAACTGATTAATAAGTGGCGTTGTTGACTTTTATTGGATACCAGTGCATTGGATAGGTGTCACCTGCCTGCGCGGTATTTCCACCCGTGACCAAGCAATTGCTAGTTTCAGACTTGTTGGGCAGTGGGCCCACTGGGCTATTGGCCGGCGTATTATCGCACAGGAACCCTATGGAAGAAACACAGAGGGCGGCGTCTCACGCTTAGCCGCCTTCACCAAGCGGACGATGCTATTTATGCATTGCATGTGGTAATGTCTGAGAAAAGCATGCACAGACGTCTCTGTGATCTAGCTAAAACTCTAATTATAGATATATCTAAACGAACTGAGCACCTTTATTAGTTATCTGTTTCGACTACCTTTCCAGGTGGTTCCGTGGTGACACCAACTAAATTTTTGGCGTTGGTACTACGTTTGAAAATTCGTTGAAGGCATTCGATGGTAGAGTCGAGAAGATGCAGGCGATAGGCGCAGTAGAGAAAAGGTATTAGTAAAACGCATTGAATAGCAATAATAGCATGTGCTTCGGGTTTGTCATGATGTTCACCGAGAAAATATAAGATAAGCAAGACGAAGCATAATATGACAAGGATCCCTAGAGTCGCAAACGCGACTTCAGTGGCAGTAAAGTGTTGTCCGAAGAAACCCATATAGCAAGATAGTGATAGTAGTGCGATTACAAAAATAAAGAAAACCCATAGCAATGTGGGTTTGGCATACATTAGGCGTTCTAGCCCATCGATAGGAATCCCACTGACATGTGCCGACGAATCCGACTCAGAATCCTTAGACCGCATATAGTTCGTAAGCATATATGTAGCAATTGTTGATGCTATTACCGCTACGAAAGACAAGAGTGTAGATATGCTAAGCGCGAGAAATATTATTTGACACGTACTAAGTGGCCTCTTAAAATGGCACTGTCGGCAGGCGCCGAGTATGAATGCGATAAAAAAGATTAAGCATAGAACAACGAACGCATATTCCGAGTTGTACGCACTTACAACATCCTCATCTATGTCTCCTTCCGTGTTTAGAAAGATTACCAAGACAATCATGACGAGAGCTCCGGTGAAAAGCAACATGCCAAGGTAAAGGCAGACTTTTTGGCACAGGGTCACGCTACCATCCAAGTAGTATAGGTAAGATCCACAGACTAGAAATAAAATCAAGAAGATGCACCCTAGAACTGTTATTACGTAGACAGCTGCCTTGAGATGAGCCTCTAGGCTCTTTGGTTGGTCCGGCAAAATGCGCCTTTCGTTCTTTGGAAAAGCTGCTGTTATCCCAAGCACGATAAAAAAACAAACTAGGACCAGTACGCCAAGCACGGCAAAGATTTTCTCACCATTATGCAGTTTACTAAGCTTTTCTCCGGGAGTCAGACTTCCTATGTCCGTCGCATCCTCTGTTTTTACAATCTTCATCAAGTACCCGAGCAGCAGTAGGGCCAGCGGTCCGGTGGACATCCTATTACCCTTGTTGATTAAATTCATTTTGTCTTTCCAAAAGAATGCATTCCATTGTTGAATTAGAGACCGTCTATGCAATTATACGTGCTTAGAAGTTGGAGATGGCGAGCCTTATAAATGGTATGGAGCCCTTGATATCACCAGTGAACAATACTTCAAAAATTGAAGACAAGACACTAGTATTGATGATTGCAACTGCCTCCTATTAACGTTGAATACCTGAAAAGGCAACAATGGCTTTGGTATAGAAACCGGACCTCTATCCTTATCCCACATTAGGCTTCTCTTTGCTGCTGTTTCCAGCGATTACCGGCGCACCTCGAGCTACTCTGTATGAAGGATCTTGGCCTCTATTCCCCATAGATCTGGGGTTTTTACGAGCATAAACACGTACTAGAAAGAAGAGATGACGTTGAACGTCCGTCTAAGTGTGCTACGGTGCCATCCACTACGTACATGGTGATTGATGCCCTCCTCAGCTGCCGCTCCATCTTGTTAACCATTTATTTGCGAATTATACATGCTTCATTTCGAGAATGGCTTACCGAAGTGTTGATTTGTCACCAGTTGTTCTCTTGATAAATCAGACTTGGCATGGTACCAGAGGTATGCTAAGTAGAGGTGCCATTGACACCACCCTCCACGGATGTGGTATTACCTTCAACATCTTCGGCGAATGAACACTTTAAAGACGTGCAAAACATGCTTGTATACTATACCGACTACGCATTTTCCTCGTAACCGTTATCACTACCTTGTAGTTGAAGGAGCGCTACGGGGCCCTTCGTGAGGATCTTCATCTGTCGTGCATTTCACCAAATAATCCCAGGGCAGTCACATTAGACGGTCATTTATCGATGTAGATACCCAGTGAGGTAGGACATCTTTGGCGTCCTACATCCGACACTTCGCTGCTCAACTTGAACCACCGCCGTAGAACGATCTATGATGGCAGTCGTTAGCTCTGTTTCTGTAAACTCAATGCGCCATTTTGGCTAATTGTGATATCTTATGAGGCCCGCTAATTCATGAAATGGCTACCAATTCCAATGTATGGCCATTAAAATTCGACCAGTTATGAGATCTGCTGTACACAACAGGTATACTGCAATTTAAGAAGATAACATAGGGCTGTTATTAGAAGCGCAATATATGAAAGTTAGACTAGAATTTAAATGGCACCAATCTATATACTTCGCGGGTTAATAGCACCTATAACACCAAGCGTGTTAACGTAGAATATAAAGGGCATGGCATAAAAATCACACCATAAGCAGTATACACATTACAA